CTTTTTTTTTTCTTCCCCTGAAAGCTTTTAATTTTTTTTTTTTTTTTATATATATATAAACAAAAAACCCAACTCCTCACATCAGTCCAGTTTAAGTAAACTGTTTTAAATGGGGTGTTATTTTCTAAGAATCTACCACAGGGACGCATGGTAACTTGAGGTGTAAAGAATGTGAGAGTCCCCCAAATAACATCTCAGTGTTCCTTGGCAGGAACTGCGGTAACGTGTTCTGTGCCAGCTGTTGCGACCAGAGGATCCCAGTGCCAAGCCAGCAGCTGTTTGAGCCCAGTCGCGTCTGTAAGACCTGCTACAGCAATCTCCAGCATGGCTCAGCTACCCTGGAGCTGGAGAAGCCCATTACAGCCAGCTCCAACTGAGGTCCAGAGGACCAGGACAGACGGGAGTCGGGTTGAGCTGCAAGTCGCTGATGCGGAAGCACTGCTGAAGAGCACAGGAGCTAAAGAATGTCCCACCAACTTTGTGAGTGCTGCTGCACTTTGGAGTGTGAGTGTATGTGTGAAAGAGAAGCTGAGTGGCATGTTGGTGAGATGGGACTGCGCACAAAGGAATGAAACTGGACATCCTGGTGCCTTGGACCAGGCAGGCAGAGGACATTGTCTCACTGTATTTGCTGAAGTCTCCTGGAGGACTTTGGTCTGTGAAAGATTCTCCTGAAGATCCTGAAAAAAAAAATGATAAAGGTTTCTCATCTCCTAGCCTGGAGCATGGACTCATCTCTGCAGGGTGTTCTGACATCCTGGCAATCACGAGACTGTCCCTCAGCAAGCCAATGTCTCAGTGAAAGATTAAAGGAACAATTCATCCAGATCACCAGAGGAGATGGTAGTCCTATTCCCTCACTTCTATGGTACCAACAATCCAGCAAAATTTATTATGATCCGACCTTATCTGAGATTTCTGCTGCCAATTAGTCTGCAGGTCATGTTATCAGTTCAGCATATTTTTGTGTAACTTGTTAATGCTGTAAGGTTGGGCTGTTTTTACCAGAAAACTTGGTTACATATTCAAACAGTCCAAAATGAAACCTAAACACTTTTATATCTGAATACATGTAACAAGCAAATTTGAGAAGCCTGATCCAGTGTGAGATTCATCCCCCAATCAAACGACCAACTTTGCAATGCTACATTTGCAGGTATGATTTCCACATTAAAATAAGACTGATCTGACTGAGAGGCACATACCCATTGAACCTTTTACACTTTAGAATTGTCCTAAAAGTGCAGGAAACTAGGTTTTAAAATTACTAATACTTCCGGCTATGTAGCTCAGAATCTCGTTTAAAAATGCTGCTTTCTGATGGTAATGACTTGATAACATGACCGCAGACTGATCAGTTAGTAATAAACTACATGACGTCCTCTGTGGAAAAAACTGACTCCATGCTTTTCAGACATTGGTTGATCATCAGCTAAAGTGACTGAAGTGATAGTATCCTATTTAAAGATGGGTCACTTAAATATTGATGTTCCCCTCTGCTCAAGAACCTCTGTAAGCAGGTGATATTTACCATACATGCATTTGTATTGTCACCATCAACTAGTAATGGCACACTTGGGAATATTTGTTCCTCTCTACCATTGTGTGCAAGAGCTCAGTACATTTGAAAACTCCATTCCTCCCTCTCCTGGACTGGGAATGCTGAAGTGCATCATATTCCAAATTAAACCAGAGTGCCTAAGAAGCTTGTTTAGGCTCCATATATTCAGACTTGTTGAGAGTGAGGCAAGTTTTGCCATTTTGACTTGGTAAGAGTGCTGTGAGGATGCTTGCATACACTCGGTCACATGTTCAGTCTAAAGGAGCGCTTGTCTGAAAAGTGTGTAAAACAGTGAAGTGTATCTCTTAAAGAAACTGGCCGCAGCCTTTGTTTGCAGTGTCATTACTCTGGATAACTGGGTGAATTGAGCCTTTAACTTTCTGTGGGCCGAGTCTCAACTGTGCTTGCTTTGTTTGGGTGAGCTTTTAAGCAGCTTTTCAGAAGAGACGCACAAATGTGGTGGCAAACAAGTGATGTACAAATCAAAAAGCCCTTGATGCTTTGTGAACATCACATTTAGTTATGGTTGAGATTCAGTCCAGAGTACAGAAAGGAGGCTGGACTCCTGGAGTTTGTGAATTTGTAAAATTCTGTGCTGTTCACATATTTAAATGCACTTTTTTTTTCTTTCTTTTTTTTTTTTTCCCCCTTTCTAATTGCTTTTTTAAATTTTTCCAGTAGTTTGGCATCCTTATCCTGATCACGGTGAGGATGGTGAATCATTTTGTGTTTGAAGCCCCCGTGGAGACAAGTCATGCAGCAAGTTAGTGAGAGGAAAAGGCTTGTGGCTATTTGGTCTTTTAACAGCTCGTGCTGCGCTGCTCCTCCATACCAACAGACTGTTTATTACTCATGTGCAGGGAGCACTCACTGTGAGACTCTGCTGATTTCAGGCTTTGGCTTTTTGTTTCAAAGCATTAACATCACACAGGTTTGGCCGATAGACCTGCATCAATACCGACGTTTTGTTTTCAGTTTGTCTGCCGTGGACAAACTGAAGCACACGACTGTGCGGCCAACTGCTGCCAAAAGATCCAGTTTTGTTTTACCCAGCAGGCACTGGGACGGAACAACCTGTTTTGTTTTGTTTTTCTTCTCCCCTCAGTCCTCTGGTACTAATCAGACGGGTGTAAAGCTCACAACAAGACATCTTTTTATCTATGTGTGTATATATATATTTTTTTTTTTCAGGTGGCTGTCAGCCACTACGAAACAAATTCCACTTTGTCTAAATCGGAGGAGCACAGCAGCAGTAGAAAGGGCTTTCTGCATTTCCCGGGTCTGTAACGCCACATGAAATCTGTCAAAGCATCGCTGAGACGCCTGCTCAGCCTCACACCCATTCACAAACTACTTGTGCACACACAGACACAACTTTTGTACAGTAAATGAGAGGAATAATATATTCAGATACCTACATAGCATTTAAGAAAATGTATAGAATCTTTGAATAGTGGCACTTAATTAGTCACCAAAGTTTTTTTCTTCTTTTTGAAATTGCATAAAATACCTATATTTTGCAATCTGTTTAAGGCAGTTTGTTTTGTTTTTATGAATAAATGGAGAAGCAGGGTGACCTGATTTGATGCTGTAATGGTTCTCTCTCCTCCCCCTACTTGGATTTTATTTATTGATATTTGTATTGTTGACTTGCTGTTAAAACTCCAGTTAACTCAGTTTTTGCCACAGGATAATCAGAAACGCAGACTGAGCGGTGGTTCTGAACTTTGGCTACAGCATCCCGTCAGAATATTTTGTGTTGGCCAATCACAGCATGTGTGGATGTAAAGATTTCAGCATTATGAGGGGGTGAGCAGTCAAAGGTAGCCAACGAGATGTCTATGCACTGAGTGAACAGTGGTCCAAAACAAGCAGCCTGAACCCAAAATGAAGCCCTGCCCCCTTTAAAGCTCTCATACATTTATACCATTCACACCCATCTACAAACACTACCTCTACTTGCATCCACACTTGTTCATGTAGACACACATACATTCACATACTGAGCTTCTAGTTGCTGAGTGACTCTTGCTTTTCAGATTTCCAGCGCGAATGGGTTGTTGTTGTGTTGCAAATCTTTTTGTAAACCCCTCCCCTGATTACTGTTCAGCTGGAACATTTAAAGGTACAGCACAGAAGCGTAGACTAGGTTGATAATCTTTGTTCAGACTGCCGCTCTCTATTCCCCATGATCCAGCTCGCTGTGTCAGATGGCTGCTGTAGATATAAACACAGCAAGTTTTGGACTAAGGGAGGAAACACAGACATTTAACTGTGATTGACAACCTGATGCTACTTAATTATCCTAAAGCTGTTTGACTGAGCCCATTCCTGTCACTTCCTGTTGGATTTGTGCATGATGCTGAGTTGAGATTGTTGCCATCTGGTGGTGGAGCTGCTGTTTTAGGTAGTCAAAACAACCGGCTTAAAGTGTGTGCTTTTTAATGTCGACCTCCTGTGGAAGTGTGTTTAATTTGACAGCCTGACCTTTAGTCTTTCAAAGAGAACTGAAATATATTATTTTGGCCCTCTCGCGAAAGATGAGTCAATTCCACAAACTACATCTGATGGCAACAAAATGGAGCAATTGTGTCCAAATAGACAATTTATTATTTTAAGACTCCACACTCCCTTGTGAAGCCAAAGCTTTTTGACCTTCCCCGCATTGACGACCAGCAGCGTGAGTTCCCTTTTTCGAGTTTCACCACAGTCACAGGGACGTCTTGTTAAACAATCCATGAATGTGAATGGTCTCACGGGAGAGGAAAGGCTGTTTATTTGCACATGACATTAAGTAAACACTGCCACAGGGTGCATCTGAGTAAAGTGAGACTGAAAGTGTGCTTTTCAGTATTGCAACAGCATGCTGGAGTTATGGACAGATCTGTGTGTGGGAGGGGCTGGTAATGTGGGCTTCAGTTAACGTTGCTGTGTCCCCACCCCCAGTATGCATATGTTGGGGTTTTGTTTTTTCCACTCACGCTGACTTGCTTTTAGAGGCATCACTGCAATGGCCCAGTAGTCACATGAGGTGTGAGTGTATAAATGCGTCAAGCATTTCAAGCATTAGTGTGACTGAGTGTCTCTTTGGTGGAGCCTGGTGCCAAGCAGTTTTTATTACGGGTCTCTCACAAAGGGATCACTCGTGCTTTTTCTTCTTCCTCTCTCACCCCCTCTGTTAAGCACTTTGAACCTTCTCATGTCTGTCGAGTGTATGGCTGTACATAGCAAATTCCTGTAACAACAAGTGCTCCTTGTTCAGTCTGAATATTTTGTTCTGTTTTGGATTTCCTTTTAAAGAGAATTACATTGTTGTAGAATTAAAGAAATAAACTAGAAGATGAATCTGTTGTGACTGTTTGCTTGCTAGATGATACCTGCTTTCACTGACACAACTTGCTGTGGTGGAGAATCTGCAACTGAGAGCGCACAAAGAAGAAAACAGACACTAGAATCATGTTTAATGCGTGTACTGGTATACAGCTCTAAAAATCAAGAAAATCTTAAGTTACACTGTCTAACATCAATTTCTACTTATAGAATGCAAATCCAAGTGAGTACATGACAGAAAAGAACAACCAAGAGAATCGATCAAAAAGCGACAGTGCTGCTCTAAGTTAGTCATGCTCACTGATGTGATGAGTGGGGGGTGGTCTTGCTGCCTCTAAAGAAACGATACAAGCAAGTGATGACCCCTGACGGTTACTAGACTTCATATCACTGCACAGAAACGGGACATCTGTACCATAATCGGCAGCAGCGGACTAAGAGCAAGCTGAGGCGCTTTGAGCCAGCCTGACAGCACGGCGTCCGGCATCAGAGGCAGAGCTGCGTGTTTCTTTCTTAGGTTTGCTAAAAACAACACGAGGAACACTTGGAGCGAAACACTGCTTAATAATTGTTTTACAAAGTATGGCCGGACAACGACGGTCGAAGCACTCTTATGCAGTTATATATCAAAGGCTATTCAGGCAAGAAGACCACACGGTTGATCTGGTCGCGTAACAAAAATGAGCTTTTAAACTCCTGATCAAATCCAGTCTTGTGTGCAAAGTCTTGCCTCCTCAGATCTCCCTTCCGTTAGTGAGCTATGAAAGTAATTCAGTGTCAGTTTAATTCTCTTAACGGAGAAAAAACCCTGTGATATTTCAGATTCTTATGTAAGGTTGATATTGTACGTCCTAGCCAGCGACAGCGTTAATCTCCCTGCAACATCTTTAGAAACTCATTTTTTAAAAAAAATAGACATGGCTTTACCAGCCGACTCTTCCCTTTTATCTATAAAAACTCCGACAGCAATATTTACAACTTTGAGGAGATAGAAAGTAGCTTCTGTAGATCAGCGTAGGTTCCCTGCCACCAAATCTACTGTGGGATAACTCCCATAAAAGCACGTGTCAAGAGGATTGTCACAGGAGACGTCTCCCGTTGCAGGTTTTTGTGAGGTTGAACGAGGAACTGACGCTGCACTATGTACAGGCAGTGTGCGTGCGTGTGTGTGTGTGTGTGTGTGTGTGTGTGCGCGCGTGCGCTTGCACTCAGGGTGGAATAAGGGCTTTTGCAGTTGGTTCTCTACAACCTCCAGTCAGGAGCAGCAAGTGGACTCACACTGACGACTGATCCCACACCTGCAAACACAGATTAAGAGCAAAGGTCAAAGCGTGTCACTGTGGCTTAAACATCATGAATAGTTTGGTGTTGTCTGTATTTACTGAAGAGCTGCAGCATCAGTTGTGAAACTGAAGGTGAGTGGCCTTACTGGATATGTATTTAAATGAATCGTACAAACATGATTTACTGAAGTTTACAGCAAACTGCTAAATTTAACAATAAAGCTTGTCTTTTGCACCTGATCGCTGCTGCTAGTAATATTTATTTGGAACAGCAGGAAGGAAGCAGGGAATCCCAGTACAAGGTGCATATTATAGGGTTTTTT